CAAATATAAATTTTTCAAAATACTGCAAAAATAAACAAAATTCTAAGCTATGCAATTTGGTTCTTAATGGTCTTATGTTGGATTGCTTCTTCAGCTAGCTTCTATCACTGATTCATGTTACAAGCTACTCAACTAGCTCTTACTTTGCTCATTACTTAACTTTTTGCTCTTCCTCTATTTCAACTTTTGTGCAACTCCTCTTCTTTTTTTAGCTTCTTGTTCTATTTTAGTTGCCTCATCCTTATACTCAACTTTTTCTTCCAGAGCTTCTATTTCTCTTTCAACGTCAGCCAAGTATTCATCTTGACTAAAGTTGATGAGATACATCAACTCTTTATCTGTTGTAAGCCCTTCCACTATTAAGGTGTTAACTCCCAATTGTTTGGCTATCATTCTCACTAACATCTCCATGTTGGTGACCTTTTCAGAAATGCTTTGTTGTTGCTCTAAATCCTCCTAAAATCTTATAATATCTCTATTGGTGTCTTAGGTATTGAAGTGGATGGCTTCTTGCTCTGAATACTCTTGACATCTTATAATTTATCAATTGGTGTCGGAGGTCTTAAAGTTAATAGCCTTTATTGAGTTGAGGTTTAGTTAGACTCTTCTCTACATATTTTTCTAAGTAGGACTTGGTGACTAACATTACTATAAGTATTATAGTGTAATATTCAATTTGTACTCCGATGCCTTGTGCATAATTGTGTAATTAAAGTTGCATAAGGTAAGGAAACCTTCTTCATATTTGAGATATAGATTATTCTATTGGCAGTGGCTAATCCTATATTGGTTGGTAGCTCCTTTATTAGCAGTAAACCATGTCAGCTCTTTTTAGCACCAACTTCCTGTCATGCACCAAAAGAAAAATACTAAAATACATAAATGTGCACTGGATTTTAGGAGTAGGCAATAAACTAGACATAAAAAGAAATATGTAGCTCCATTGTTGGTCTCTTTCCCATTTTCTTTCAGGCTTGTAAACGGTGGTAAAGGTTGCTTCTTCATCCACATACTAGTCCATAAGCCTCTTGAATTCACATGATGGATAATCTGCATTGTATTCAACATCCAAGAACTAAAGCTGATGATATGTTGGCCCCTTACATAAGAGTTGAATATTATTTCTACCTTTGTGTTGGAGTGAACTAGGTTTGCACAAAATTACTTAGTTATTTTTTATAGCTCTGCCCTATCATATTGCAAAATCTCTCATATATTCTTTCCTTTATCTTTGTAGTGATTTGAGGATAATCTTCCTCTTGTAATTAAATTACCCTATCTCTAGTCATCAATCTTCTTTGATAGTGTAATTTGAATTGCGTCTAAGCCTCTACAAATCTAAACCACTAGGAATCTTGCAACTTAAGTTAGGATTATGTTATTGGTTTCTTCACCTTAGCCACTTCTTTCTTTTTAGTTCTTTTACTCTCTTTGGCAGCCTTCTCTACTACTTTCTCATCCTTAGCTCTTTCTGTAAGCAATTTCAAAAAAATCATTCTTAGTTCTCATTTACATAAAAATTTTGGTTATGAGAACTCTCTTTGGTAATAACACAATATGACACAATATTAATTTGATTAAAACTAGATCAATTTCAAGTTATCCATAATTTATATCAATGTATCAATATATATTTGTTATAAGGAATCGGGTTCAATTATACTTTAAAGCACAAAATGAACTAGGTATAATGATATTGATAAGTTAATTCAAGCATTTTGTACCTAATTGTTCATAAATTATGTACTTCAACAAATTGAATTTTCAATGTGGCCAAAAGGTTATAATAATTGTAGTGAAATAAATGAAGGGAAAGGATATACAAAAGGGTAATAAATTATAAAAATTACAATCATCCTCTAAGTTTATAAATGAAGCTATTGGAGTAATTTTTATATTTCACATTCAATCAATATCATTACTCCTCCTTCCTTTCATTCACTTATAACCTTTTTTCTTTTCTTTTTATTATTTTTCATTTTTTTTTTTTGCATATTTTCTTTCTTTTTGCACATAAGAGATATAGAGGAGAATTTATCAAACAATTCTACAACTCAATTGTTCCATTCATAAACTCAAGATCTTCAAAATATTTTATAATTTCAATGCAAAGGGTTAAGAAAAATCAATAAAGCTCAAAGTGGACAATTAGCTATATCTCTATCTCAAACATGTTGAAGGTCAAGAAAAATAATCTTAATGAGTCTCAATCATATTAAAACATACAATAAAAAAAGTATCTTAAAGTCGATTACAAGTCAAGTTCTAAAGCACAAGTCCTAAGGAGATAATCACACAAAAAATGAAAAAGGAGGTATAATAATTAAATTAGGATAAAAATCTCTTTAAAGCTCAAAACTTACATTTGTGGGTTAAAATCTAATGTAAAATAGAAAAGTAAGGAATTTAGCTAATTATTAGTTTTCAAATGAAAATCTTATTCCAATGATAATCACTTAATATGCTCTTTATCTGAAAAAATTGGGTTCCTTGGAGATAAAAGTTTCAAATTATCATGAAAAAAAGGTACAAACACTTGCTTAAGAACATGCAATAACAATTATATCATTGGGAACTCCCTCAAACTTAAAGAAAAATATTGTCCTCAATGTTTAAGATAGTTAAATGTATACAAAGAGGTCAATAGAATGAAAAGGAAGGGGACTCCCTAATAAGTTTAGGTGTAACATCCCTTGGTGGAGAAGCATGGTCATGTTTGATTATATGCACGCCTATATAGATAAAATAAGATCTTTTTCTCCAAATTACGACTGAATGCATGCCATGCATGAACTAAACACAAGCATGCTTTTGAATCAGAACTTAGAACATGGGCACAGTGATGATCAACTCTACTTCTTCACACTCCTAGTATGCTTATTTTTCATCCTAAAAAATAAGACAAAAAAATAAAAATAAACGAAATAGAATAAAATTAAAATAAAATATATAGGTTGCCTTATGGAAATGCTTGTTTAATGTCACAAGCCTAACATTCCTGTTAAATCATGGTGGAAAGAAGGCATGAGTCTTAGATGTAACTCCTTTGATATATGGTTATCTTCACGACAGGTTCCCTTTCATAACACGTGTCATCAGAAGGGTCAATCACAAAAAAGGAAAGAGGAGAAAAATTAAAATAAAGAGAAAAAATTTAAGCTCAAAATATGGGGGTTTGAGCTTTTATCTTTTCTTCTTATTAGATTACTTCTTCTTTAGCCCTCTACTTGAAGTTCTATGCTTTACAAAATTTAGAGAAGGAAAAGCAACATTCATGATGCTCACAAAGTTACAGAATTCTTAACCCATTTTAAAGAACTGAAAACTTGAAAAATGATTTCCTCATCCTCTAACCTCAAAGTGAACTTTCCTTCTTGGACGTCTATAAGGGCTCTTGCAGTAGCTAAAAAGGGTCTGGCCAAGATGATGAAGACATCATCATCCTCCTCCATGTCAAGTATCACAAAATTTGCAGAAAAAAAAAATTCTCCAACTTTCATAAGCACATTTTTTACTATTCTTTTAAGATAAGTAATTGACCTATCTGTTAGCTAAAGAGACACAGAGGTCAATTTTGGTTTATGCATCCCAAGCTTCCTAAAAATAAAATAAGGCATAAGATTAATACTTGCTCCTAAATCACATAAGGCCTTATCAATATGATTTTTTTCCAATGGTGTAAGGAATAATAGAACTTCTTAGGTCCTTAAGCCTAGGCAGAAGCATTCTAAGCATTATAACTGAGAATTCTTTAGTGAGCTTCACAGTTTCATGTGCTCTCGTCTTCCTTTTGTTAGTCAAAATCTTCTTGAGAAACTTAGCATATTTAAGCATTTCGAAGATAGAATTGATAAATGGTATATTGATGTGCACTTTGCCCAATAGCTCTGAGAATTTGTCAAACTGTATATCATAGGGAGGGTGGCCCTGCAACCTTTATGGGAAAGGTATCTTAGACTTTTAGGACCTTGACTGCATAAGAGGTTCTTCCTTCCTTTCTTTTTCAAGCTCTATGCATGAAGCATGGCCTTGCTCATAGGGATGCACAACCATGCTTGTTGAACCTGCATGGACATGCTTGTCTAAGTACAGTCATGCTTCTATTATAGCATATGCGTGCTTATCAGTAAGTAAGGGTGTGCCTGTAGAGGGTTCATAGGCGTGCACGTGCTTCTGATCTGCGATTCTTGAACCTTCTTCCTGCTTCTTAGAGTAATGGCATTGTATTGCTCCCTTGAATTAGGTTCAAGCTGAGTTAGTAATGTTCCCAATATTCTTGAACTCAAAAAGCAATTGATTTGTTCCAATTGAGATTTAGCCTTTAAAGAGTGTGATTTCATATCTGATTTGATTTATCTGAACCTCTTATTGGTCCTTTTAATATGTTGGTCTAACTTAGATTCAAGCTCTATCATTTTCTTATCAGAATAATGCGTGTATTGCATCATTGTCTCTTGAAAGTTGGATTGAGAACTAGGAGTCTCCTTTCCTTCTAATCTTGCTCTTTGATTTTGACATGGAAGGGTGATAGACATTTGAATTTTGGCTTCCAAAGTCATTCTCCAAGAGTTTAAAGGGTTGTTTCGCCATCCTGAGTTATAATTACTGCCCATGAAATTGGCTTCCTCTTTACTTTTATAGCTAGATAATTATTGTTGTCATAGCCTAAGGAGCTGCAATGCTCACATAAAGAAGCTGTAGTTAGTTTTGATGATTGTCCCTGAATTTTCAATAAAGCTTTCACCTGTTTGGTTAGAGCTTCTAACTGACCTGTCAAAGTGTTGCCCTTTGCTAGGTATACTAGAGCAGTCTCCTTCTTCCTGTTCGTGAAAGGGTCAACTATGTGCCACTGAAAACTAGCAAATGTCATCTCATCCACCAATTTATATGCCTCATCTAGGTCCTTCCTCATAAGGGCTCCTCCAGCTGCTACATCAATTGTGGCTCTGTTGAAGACTGATAATCCACTATAGAAAATTTGCATTTGTCTTCACATGAGAAAATCATGATAAGGGCACCTCATCAATAGTTCTCCAAATCGTTCACATGCTTTAAATAAGAATTCTAACTTATGTTGCTGGGAGTTTGATATCTCTATCATCAAATTAGTAGAACGAGATGGAGGAAAATATTTTCCCAAAAATTGTTGAGTCAAATCCTCTCATGTTATGATAAAACTTGTTGGGAGCGTAGCAAACTATGCATTCACCTTTTTCGTGTTAGGGAATGGGAAAAGGCAGAGCTTAATGGTATCAATGGTAACCCCATTGTATTTGATGGTGTTTGTAAGCCGGAAGAAATTTTTCAGATGGAAGTTGGGGTCTTCTTGAGGCATTTATCCAAACTGTGTAGAGTTCTAGATCATAGTTATCAATGTTGGTTTTAACTCAAAATTGTTGGTCTTCATTTTAGGGGCCACAATGCTCCCAAAAGCACCTCTAGCAATGGATGTGATGTAATCTTGAATTGATCTTTTTCCCTCTACTAGTTTTTATTCTCTCAGCTCTTTCCTTTGCCTATGCACAGTTCTCTCGATCTCTAAATCAAATAAGCAAGTTGTAAGAGACTTAGAACAAGTGAGTATACACTAAAGAAATTTTATAAAATAAATAAAAATAAAACAAATATTAAAACAAAAATTAAATTAAATAAATTAAAAATAGACAGAGCAAGGCTAAAATAAAGTGAAACATAAATTGCTCAAAAATTAATCTCTAGCAACGGCGTCAAAAACTTGTTCTGTGGGCAAGTGTACCCATCAAAAAGTAATAAATGGTTCTAAAAATAAGTTTGTGAGATTATTGTCCCATAAGGATTATTTTTCAATTACTAAGAATTTCTTAATTTAGTTGTTTGAGCTTAAAAGATGTGAGATTAATTAAAACAAGAATTTAATTATAAAATTAATCGTAAAATTTAGAACAAGTAACACAATGCACGTCCTGGATGAACTTATCGGAAGGGACTTGGGCATATAGATTTTCTCATTCAATCATTTATGTTATTATTTTGTTTAACTTTAAATCTAATTTCCTTGTGAGTACCTATCATTTATACAAATACTATCAATACTCAATGGTCATAAACTATTAATATTCTTTTCTCTAAACTAACATCTATAATGGTCATTTAAGATATTAATTTAAGAAAGCATAAAGCACCTATGAACTTGTTAATTTAATAACGATTAGAAGAGAAAGATTGATTTGGTTCATCTAATTCTTTGTCTCGTTTTATCCTATAGATCCATTAACTAATCAAGATACAGTCGTCTGATGATGTAATTAATTATGATTATGTTATGAGTGGTTAATTCACAACATATAATTATGTGCAGTAGGATAAACACTAATCACAGATGAAAATCAAACTTAGATTCAAACATCAAAATTTCATAAATTCATGAATAAAAATTCTCATAACCCTCGTTATACACTTAGTTACTCATGCTAACGAAAGAAACTAAAACAATCATAAACAAAGTCAGAGTCAAAAGAAATAACAAATTAGAATGTCCCCAAAGGTTGGGGATGAGATGAGTTCCCTGTCTTCAAATACAATCACTTAAAGCTCTAAACTCCACCAAGAATATGCCAAAGATCCGTTCAGAAGAGTGAGATGAATGGTGTATCAAAAGGTCAAGGACAAGGTTAGAAACGGGGGTCTGTTAGTTGTGTTCTTGAGACTCTTTTAACAGGGTTTGAAAACTCTAAAAGTTGATATTATAGCAAGTAAGCATGGATGTGCAAGCCCATATGCACAGTTGTGCATATGTTCGAAGCACCACGTGCTTTCTTCTAAGGTATGGGCGTGTTGACTATTGTGAAGCTTTGTTTTCTAGCCAATTTGGGCCCAAAAATTCAACTATATCCCTTTTTATGCTAAACTACACAATATATGTATGAATTAATGCAAAAATCCCAATAAAATAAAGGTCAAACATAAACATATGGGTCATAAAAGTGGGTCAAAATATAGACTTACCATATCACAGAACTAGCCCTAGGAAAAAAAACTAAGTTCTTAATACCAATTGCTATGACAAAAATGAGAAAGAGAAATAATTGTTAAGATACCTTGAATTTATGTATGACCCAATGTTTTTGTTGTATCTTGAATTTTAGTCATTATTATTTTAATGTGTGTATTGGGGCCATGGGGTGTTTATGAGAAAGATATATGCATTGTAAAAGTTCTCACATTATATTATTTCAGGGTTGTCCTTATATAACAACTATAATTTTTAATTTTCAAGTCTCCACTTCACGGAAGTTCTCAAGGGGGGAGTGCAATTTTTCACAATAGTTGTATAAAGAGCCTATGATTAAGTGGGATATGGTTCATTTGCAATATAAGTTTTTCAAGTGCTATGAAGTTTGACATAGAGAAATTGATGGAAGAAATAATTTTGGCTTTTGGCAAGTACAAGTAAAGGATATATTGATACAATTGGGACTACACAAGATTGAGTTATGTGCTAGCAATGTCTTTCTCATTGTGAAAGAGGGTAATTTTCTCTAAAAGATTAGAGTGTATCCCATGACATTACCATGTTGTCATGGAAAGGATAAGTTATATTGCTAACAAATCTATGATTGCTCATGGACATTGGTCAATATTGATGCAAGATGTGTGATAATAGTACATGGAAATTGGTTAACAATTATGTAAGATATGTGATGATAATGCATGATTGTTGGTTAACATTGATGCAAGATGTATGGTGATAACACATGGGCATTAGTTAATATTGATGCAAAGTGTGTGGTGATGACATACAAGCATTACTTAACTTGATGCATGGTGTATGGTGTAGCATGGAAACGTTGGCCAACATTGATCCAAGGTGTGTGGTATACTCTTTATGGTAGAGTATGATAGTTCTTTTGAACTATGATTGTTAATGTAGACAATGAAAGTACAAGATGATTTATTTCAATTAAGGTAAAGATTGTTGGAGTTGGTTAAAATAAAGTGCAAATGAGTATTAACTAATATTGTTTATGGTACAGTATGATAGTTCTTTTAAATTATGATTTTCAATGTAACAATGAAAGTAGATAAATTTATTTCAATTAATGTAAAGATTATTGAAGTCAGCTAAAATAAAGTATTTTGGAACAAGTCACATTGCCTATGTTTGTGACTTGCCAATTCTTGGTGGGATTGTAAAAAAAAAAAAAAAATAGAAAAATTAGAATAAGAACCTTCACTTTGAGGCATAACATGTTTAAGTTCTTCTATTGAAAATTCATTAATCTCATTAAATTGGCAATTAATATTGTCAAAACAACTAATAAAAATGTATACAGCTCAATTTATCTGGAAAGTGCAAAAATCAATAAAAGTATAATAACATAAATGAAAAAAAAAAAAAAAAAACTCAGTTAACTGTCATCAAAATCCCACCAAAAGTCTCCCATGATCTCAACCTCTCTGGCTCTCTTATTTTATTACTTGCAACTTACCACAACATTCAGTTCAATCTACAAACAAACGTTCTTTATGTTTAGAAATAACTTTGTAATGCATATAAAGGGGCTCGTGTGCTTTTTCTATCCCCAAAACGTTTATTCACTCTCTCTTTCTCTCTCACACATAGCTAGAAAAAGAGTTTGGGATTCCATACAGCTAAAAAGAACAGACCAATGATTGGTCCTTTTCTTGCATTTTTACCTTCCTTGTCCATCACTCCTACTTAAAAATTTCCTTAGAAAGAGATAAATGTTATTGCAACATAGTGGAAATGGTAGAACTTCCATGTTTAACATGGTTGATGACTAGAGCACAGCACAATATCCCACCCAACGAATCCCCTACTAAACTTCCTTGATTCTCTCTTTATTGAAAGTTAATACCAATATTCAGCATAGGAATAATAACAATTATTAGATTTGATACATTGCCAAATGGTCAAGTATGTCATACTCAACCCCTCATGGTTTAGTTTGCCAAAAGTAATCCCCCTCACAAGAGGTTGTATGGCAGATTCCCCACCTTCCCATGTTACAACTTCTCCTTTAACTATCCCTACCATTCACACATTTTATAAAACCCCACATCCCTCCCTTCCCTCTCCTTCCATATTTCATCTCATCCTTCTTTTCTTCCCTTCCCTCTTACCATTGTTCCATTATCATTAGTTCATTACATCTCCTAATCCATTAGTCCTCTTCCTTGTCAAGATTCCCCTAACAAAACACACTTTCCAATTAAAGTACACATAAATAAGCAACAAAATGTGCAGCTCCAAGGCCAAAGCGACTGTAGGCTTAGAAGCCTCAGCCATATCTCAAGTGGCCAGAATCAATGGCCGGCCGGTCCTTCAACCGACTTGTAACCGAGTTCCTAACCTTGAGAGGAGAAATTCAATCAAGAAAGTGTCACCAAAGTCACCTTCTCCACCATCATCACCACTTTCACGCAAGACTTCATTGACTCCTCAAGCAATGAAGCGAGGCAATGACACTTATGCATTGAACTCAAGTTCTGAAAAGATTGTGACCCCAAAACACACCATAAAGACTACAACTTTAGAGAGGAAAAAATCCAAGAGCTTTAAGGAAGGGTCCTGTGTTGTCAATGCCATTTCTGCTTCCATTGAGGCATCATTAAGTTACTCTTCTACTTTGATCACTGAATCCCCAGGTAGTATTGCTGCAGTGAGGAGAGAACAGATGGCACTGCAGCATGCACAGAGAAAAATGAAGATTGCCCATTATGGAAGATCAAAATCTGCAAAGTTTGAAATAGTTGTCCCTCATGATCCTTCAAACAATCTTCCATCGAAGACAAGTGAGGAGGAGAAGAGATGCTGCTTTATCACCGCCAATTCAGGTAACTGAGAATAAAAATTTTAGTTCAAATTGATTCCCAAATTTTTACTCTCTGTAGTTTGCTATATCTGAAAACAGAATGTGCTAATGCCAATGGCTTTTTTGCTAAATAGATCCCATCTATGTTGCTTATCATGATGAAGAATGGGGAGTTCCAGTTCATGATGACAAGTAAGCCCCCACTTCTATCCCTCATCACACACAGAAACACAATTAAGATCAAAGCCAAATTACACTCACACCTCCTGAAGGTTAACAAAGTTTCTTCCGATACCTTTCAATTTTTTCACCCTACACAAACTCCTCTTAACTTATTTAACAACATCACAACGCATAATCTTCTCAATTACACAAACCACCCCCGATTTCTTATATGGTTATATCAGTTGGGGGGGGTGGTTAAACTAAGGTAAATAAAAAGGAGGAATATCGAGTAAAATCCTGCTAAACCTTAGAGGATGTGAATATAATTTATCCTAAGATCAAACAAAAATACTTGGAGACAAGTGATTATTAACAAAAAACACTACGGTGCATACAGGATGTTGTTTGAACTTCTAGTTTTAACTGGTGCTCAAGTTGGATCTGATTGGACCTCAATCTTGAAGAAACGCCAAGATTTCAGGTTGGATTCTGCTAAAAGAAGCATCTAATTGAATCATTGCCCATTCACTTTTACTTGTCCTTCGTTTGTTATTTTTCTTCTTTGGGGTCCCATAAATAAGGGAATGAACTAAAGAATTTTAAATTATGTACAGGACTGCATTTTCAGAATTTGATGAAGCAACAGTAGTCAACTTGACTGATAAGCAAATGATGTCTATTAGTTTGGAATATGGCATTGATATAAGCAGAGTTCGAGGAGTTGTTGATAATGCTAATCGAATTTTAGAGGTAAGCTTGCATTAGGCATAAAAGTATGCACCCTTTTCATCTCTCTTTTCGATTTGGTTTTTCTTCTTTACACATAATATGGCCCCCCATAACACTAGTTTACGTGATTTAGATGAATATTCCAGAGAGAAGAAAGGATTAGTAAGGAGTATCAATGATGAAAAGTACAATAATTAATGACTTTTCTTTCAACAGCATTTTGTAATTTTCTTTTTAATTCAACCATTGACAAGAATGTTTGCATGTAAACAAGTTCCAATTGGAGATAATTTTTAAAGCATGGCCCGTATGAAGATTGATCTCTATGCTAAATTTCAAACAGCATCAAGTTTGTCACATATGACACAATTTTAGTCATTTTTATTTTATTTTATTTTTCCTTTCTTGGCTGTACATAAATCGAATTTGTAATCTACAACAAAAGAATTACTTTTGATGGGTTGATTTAGTTGTTTTCTTCGACATGTGTAAGCAGAAAAAAAAAATAAAAATATATATATATATATATATATATATAAAGATTTTTTTTATATTGGTTTAAGTTTAAAAATTCTTACACTTAATTTTAATCTTTTATTTAACTTAATAATAAAATAATAAATTATAATCCGTTATAAGAAAATTTTGTCTATATATATATATAAGATATTACATGTGTTGTGAATTTTTAATTGTTTAAATAATGAAACTGAAATTTTTTCTTTCTTTTAAATGTCGAAATCTTTTTTTTTTATTTTTTTTTTTCACAAATTATTTATTAACTAGAGACATAGAAAAAGGGTCCGGTAGTTTAATTCTATTGGACTAATTTATGTCCAACATGTTATGTGGAGAATATATCAAGTTAAAGATTTTAAAATTTTAATATTCTCTTTGTAAATTGGGTCAATACAGATTAAGAAGGAGTTCGGTTCACTTGACAAGTATATTTGGGGTTTTGTCAATCATAATCCCATCTTCACGCAATACAAATTCGGCCACAAAATCCCAGTGAAGACATCAAAATCAGAGCGCATAAGCAAAGACATGATCAGAAGGGGCTTTAGGTTTGTAGGTCCAACGGTGCTTCATTCGTTTATGCAAGCAGCTGGACTCACGAATGACCACTTAATCACTTGCCATAGACACTTGCAGTGCACTTTATTGGCAACTAGCTCCCAATGTACCCCAGAGCCCTCTTTATAGTTCCAATTTCACCTAATAACGAAGAGATTGACCAAAAGAGATCAAGACCAAACTTTGTGTATCTAAAATATATTCAATTTACTAACTAGATTAGATTAGATAGGAGAAGAAAAGGTTTTCTGATTTGTGACAAGTGTGAACTTCAATGGCAGTGTGGGTGTGGTTTCCAATTGACAATTTGAGGAAAGAGTTGATTGTTAAAGAGGAGAAAATGGTTTAGGATGGTGTTATTTAGTAGTGGGAGGCTTAGGGGACAGTGACCATGTGACCAATCAAACTTTGCATTATTTATTATTCCCTTAACAGCCTGTGTGTGGGATGCTTGTAGAGGGGAGTGAAGGTTTATGGGGCTTCTTATCTTTCCGTTATTCCCTTAACTTTTTGGCTTTGGTGAATATTATCCCACTCTATGTTCTGGAGTTGGTGTGGGGTTTTCTCGAGTGGTCTTCAATGCACTTTGCTGCTGTACTAATTGATTACTGATGCATACATTTCAAAACGAAAACAACATAAGTATCTTCTCTCATGTGGACCCCTTTCCGAAAGAAAAAATATTTCATCTACTTATTTGGTTTATTATTGTTTTTGTCGATTTTTCTAAGTTATAACAAATACATATATATATATATATATATATATATATATATATATATATATGTAATAAATTATATTTTATGAAACTTAAGGCTATCATAATCAGTGTGTCATGGAGAGAGACTTGGAATCGGGTAATACGCATCCTCGGGTTCAGATTTTCACCAGGCTATTTTTAGGTTTAATAAATATATTTTTTTAATACTCATTAGTTAAAGGAAGCACATTCGGATAGTAAAATACTAATGCTTGCACGTCCACTCATCTGTAGATAAAATTATAAAATTACTTTTTTTATATAAATAAAAAAATAACTTAACTCTAATGTTATATTTTAATTATTTATTTAGTATAATATTAAAATTTAATTTCTCTTTTAGTGTTATATAGATAATTAATAATAATTTATTTTTTCATAATTTTATGTTTTTAATAAAAAATTAAAAAAATATATGTGGATGTCCGCAGGTTCTCCTTAAACTGACAAGTACCCATTATGCAGACACGTGTGTGGGTGTTAAAGCAAATGCGAAGTGGTTTTTATCAGTGGGTTAGTCTCTAATAAATCTTTATTATTAATTAAATTTTATTAAAATTATAAAAATATTAAAAAATAATTAAATTAAAAGTAAAAAGAAGTGAGATTCAAACAATATTTATAGTTTTTAATAAATTATAATTAATAATTTAGACAAAAAATTTTAAAGTATATTATTAGGATATATTAGTTAGACTTTGACTTGCTAGAAAAAATAATTAATCTCTCAGTTATTCTCTAATGCATCTTTAATTATTAATTAAATTTTATTAAAATTATAAAAATTTTAAAAATAATTAAATTAAAAGTAAAAAGAAGTGAGATTCAAATAACATTTATAGTTTTTAATAAATTATAATTAATAATTAAGACAACATTTTAAAAAATATATTATTAAGATATATTAGTTGAACTTTGACTTGCTAAAAGAATAAATTAATCCAATCTTAAATATAACTTTTTTTACAGATCTGAATTGTTTGAGACATGTACTAGAATACTATATTCATTTTTGTTTAAATAAATATTGGTCCTCTTAAGAAAAAATGCATTAAACAATAAAAAAAATTACACAAAATTTATTTGAGTGAATTTTAAGGTCTTTACACGTATTTCACTCTCTCTTAGGGATGGCAATGGGTAGGGTATGGGTAGGGTACTACAGTACCCATCCCCATACCCGCGTTTTAAAAAAATATTTGTACCTGGCCCCATACCCACATGGGTATGAACATTAATCCCCGTACCCGGCCCCATACCCGCATGGGTATGAACATTAATCCTCGTACCCGTACTCTCTGGGTACCCGCATACCCGTCTTGTACCTATTACCCGCGCTTGTTTGAGAAAAAAATATTTATAAAGAAAAATATTTTTATATAACTTCACATAAGTAGCATAATAATACAAAAATTTAATATGTAGTTGCCGAACAAGGTACAAATATAGATAAAAAATAAATATTCAAAGATCATAAATGTTAAATGTATCTTAATATAATAATTTTCTAAACTAAAATTCTTAGAAACAATAAGCAAAACTAAACACACAAGTTATTTGTCAGTGATAATCCTATCTTGTGTGAGATTTGATTGTTGGTAATGTCAGAACGACAACGAAATAGATTTGTACAATAGTTGTCCCTTCGTGTGGGATCACTTAGTAACTTCTTGTGACGACATTAACAACTAACTCTAATGAATAACATTTCATAGTTTTATTAAGTTTTAGCGAGACAGGCATTGAGAATAAGAATAGAGTTAGAGTAGAGAAGTTCAATACTAACAACAGAAAGTTGATACATAAAATATTTTTTTTAACTTTTGAATTTGAAATTGTAAGAAAAATAATAGATTTAATTAAAATAAAATAATATAATTAATATATATATATATTAATACTAGTATTTTTTAACTCATATACTATACGAAAGTATTTTATCAAAAATATAAATTTTTGAAAAATTATTTTAGTGAATTAAATATTTATAATGTATATAAATTTTAAAAAAAAGAATTTGAATAAAAGATAAATAGTTACAATAAAATTTTATAATAAAGAAATATACGTGTATATTAAAAAAATTATACTTTTTTATCTTAAAAAATTAACAAATAAAAATTAATAAATTTTTTTATATTTATATCTTTTCAAAAACTTCTTTGAATGTGAATAAATAGTAAGAATAATATTATTTAGATTCAATAGATTATAGTTGTGCTTGTAATACATATGTTACATAGAAAAATATTATTTTAAATTAAAATATAAAAATAAAATTTAAATATTATTAATAAATAATAAGTTTACGGTAATAGTAGGTGATTGTAAAATTTATAAAATATTTATAATATATTTATTATTTATCATTCACTTTATGATTTAAACATCAATATGATTTTATTAACAAAAATATTTGTGTAAAAAATATTTTATGTGTGTCATATATAAATAATATTTTAAAAAAAGTCAATCTTATATTAACTATGTAATAATTAAATTGTATTAGCCTAATTAAATGATATAAAATAGTAAATAAATTTTTCTATTAAAAATATAAACCAAAATAAATTTTTTGGTTTACTTTATTATTAAATATATTTTTATATTAATCTTATATAACTTCACATAATTAATATAATAATATAAAAATTCAATGCATAATTGTAGAATAAAGTTCAAGCATATATATATATATATATATATATATATATATATATATATATATATGCGGGTATGGGGCGGGGTGGGTACTTAGATACCCATACCCGCACCCATCCCCATTAAAATTTGCGGGTTTTTACCCACACTCATACCCGTACCCGTATAGCGGGTAAATACCCTACCCATTGTAGGTAAATTTTGCAGGTGCCCATCGGGTACTTTACCCATTGTCATCCCTACTCTCTCTTCCTCTCCCTCTCCAACCTTCATCTTCCTTCCTTCACCTTCACCGCATACTCACCCCTTATTTCTCTCCCCCATATCTAATTTTTCTGCCCCCTCTCCCTTCTCACACACTCTTATCTAATTATTCTTTCTTAACCTTTCTCTTCCACCATTTCAAACTCCCTCTTCCCTCTTTTCCTTTCTTTATACCTAACTCTCCCACCAAGTCCTCATCTTACTTCCCTCAACCTTTCATGTTCCCTTAGACTATGTTTAGAGGAAAAAGGAAGAGTTAGTGGACTTAACTCTTGTTTAACAGTTACTTAATTAGAAAAGAAAAGATTAATAAGTTTTTCTAAACTTTTCAAAACTCTCCTAAAATTAGTTTTTTTAGTTCTTTCATTTTTATTTTTTTCTCTCTCTCTCTCTCACTCTCTTGTTATTTCACAATTAAGATTCTAATTATTTTAAAAAAAAATATGTTAGTTTTTAAAGTGAAAGTTTTTAAAAAATTTATAAAAAAAATATTTTTTAAAATTATTAATATTTAGAGAGGAAAATTATTTAATTTTTTATTTTTTGAAAAAAGATAAAAAAATATAAATAAAATATATAAAAATAATAATGTTATTATATGATTCTTCATCACTCTCTCCTTTCAATATTAAACATTCAAACATGACAGGAATTTTATTCTCATTTATCTCCCTTTCTCTCTCCTCCTTCCCTTTCAAACTCTTTCTCCCTCTAAACTCTTAAACAAAATCTTAGGCTATGTTTTGGAATCATGTTCAGGAGGGAAGAAAAAGAGAAGGATTAGTGAAATTTAAACCTTATTTGTAAGTTAATTAATTAAGAAGGGAAGGGTTAGAAAATTTTTTTAAACCCTCTAAAATGCTAATTTTTTGAGTTCCTTTATTCTGGGAGTTTTCTCTCTCCCACTTTCTTGTACTTATTAGAATTCTAATTTTTTTTTTAAAAAATTAGTTTTTCAAGTGAATTTATAAAAAAAATAAAAATTTTATTTTTAAAAATATTGATTTTTAGAGAGAGAAAAATATTTATTTTATTTTTTGAAAAAAAATATTAAAAAAATATGAATAAAAGATATAAAAACAATATCATTTGTATGATTAAATCCCACACTACTCTCTCCTCTTAACATTAAACATCCAAATAAGAAAAAGATTTAACATCCTTCCCCTTCAAACTACCAAACAAAATCTTAGTCTTGTTCTCTCTCTTTCTCCCCCCTTTCTCTCTATGTCAAAGTTTATGTAAAATTCTTTTAAGCGAATTTTGTATAATTCTTTTATTATTTATGTATTTTTGCTTAAGCAAACACATTTTTATTTAAATGAAAATGAAACTGAACATCGAGTTGACATCAAAGGAAGAGAATTTAGATCTCTTTTTACTTACTTTATAAAAAATAATTAATATTATTAATAACATATATCTTTAAAATTGTAAATTATTATTAATCTTAGTCTTAAAACTTAATTTAAGTATAGTAATTTTTTATTAAAAAAATATATTTATTATATTCAAGTTATAAAAGTATAATAAATATATTATTACTAATATAACATCTAAAATAATAAACTTTTATTAAAAAAGAACTTTATTATATTAAAGTTATAAGAGAATAATAATAGTCATTTTTTAATAAAATATGATTATTAATAGTTGTTTAAAATCAATTTTAAGAGTTGAAATTAATATTTTTTAATAAATTTAAAGTTAAAGGCTTACTAATAAAAAAATTTATTAACAAGATTTTTTAAATATTTATTTTTTAACCTCAACTTTTAGAGTTAAGTTTAAACATATAAAAGTAACAAATTTTGATTGAAATAAATATATTTATTGTATTAAAATTATAAATTTATACTAAATAGATTTTATATATAAAAAAAAAAATCAGTTATTTAAACAAAGGGGTTCACATTTTCCATTAAAAAAACATAATAACAAACTATCCAAAATAGTCTTATATTTAGAACTTGAAGTAGTAAAATTTAAAGTATTAGTTAAAGAAAAGTAAAAAAAAATTGTTAAATTTTCTTAATTACTTAAAGAAATAAATAATAAGTAATTTAAAAAAAAAATAAAACATTAATTACTTTTCAAATTTTAATAAGGCACTTGCGATATTGGATGTATACATATTCTCTCACAGAGGATGCAGTTTCAACCGTTGAGGAAGAACAGTGATTGTTACGGTGTTGGCTATGGTTCCTCCCTACGTTCATAAACCACTAATGTTTTCTGAATGCAAGGCAATTGCATGTTGGGGACTACTTGATAGTTCATTCTTCCAAGGACTTGAAGGCTGCTCAAGATTTCACTTCTACTTACCATCACTCTGTTCTCCATTGAGAATGATACTTTTCACTATAATTAACCGTTTGTCATTTTATTTTAAAAAATATTTTTCATTTTAAATAATATTTATTTTATTAACAATATAGTTTATTATATACATTTTATTTGCTTATTTTTAGGGTATTATATTTTTTTCTTATAATCTTATTTATTTCTTATCTATCTTTTTCTATCCTAATCAAAACTTAAATTTGTTTATATATGATTATTAATCCTTTTATTATTATTTTATTTTTATTGATCTTGATAGTTTAATTAAGTTATAACGCTTAATTTTAATTTTATTGATTTCTATTAAATATTTAATTTTTTTATTAATTGAATGTTAGACTCTTAATTTTATCCTACTTTAGTTTTTGTTTCTTCTTTTTAAATTGAAGTTCCTCGGACTAAATAACTCTAGAAAATATCTATAAGATAGGATCAATACAAAATACATTAAAATGTGCTTAATTGTTGAGAGATTCTCCACCACTTCTTTTATAATAAAAATACTAATTATTGACACATTTTATTCTGTTCGCAGTTGAAGACAGGGTACAAATATCCCAAAAGTAAAATAATCTTTCAATGTATATAAATTCAGATTCGTTGACATTATATTTAATATTTACAATATTAAATAATATTTCATAAAATAAGATTGATCAATCTAAATAATGAGTATTTTATATGATCTTTTATAATTATATATATATATATATATATATATTAAATTTAACATAATTTGAATATAAATTTTAAAAATATATTATATATTAAAATAAAGTTATGTGATGAAGTATTTATTTATTTTATTTTTAAATAAAATTTTATAAAATAGACTTATTTAATAAGAACCTTTAAACAAATATTATACTAATTAATGTTGTATTTTATGAAAAGTTATTAAGCAGTGGAATGAAACTTGATTTAGTAATACCAAATTAAACTTAACAAGCGCATCAATAATTTATATGAATATAAATTATTAAATTATATATATTAATTATAAATTATTAGATGTAACTTGTAAGTTAAATAAAAAGCTTAAATTAAGTGTAAATTTTAAAATTTACGTTAGTATAAAAAGATTTTATTCTTTCTCTCTTTCTCTATATATATATATATTCAATAAACTTATTTTAAAATATAAATTAATTATAATTTTAGTTTGAAAAAGAGAGGAAGAAAGAAAATTTTTAATTAAGAGGAGGAGACTAGAAGAAATGAAAATTAAAAAAAATGAAAGAAAATACTTTAATAAAAGAGAATGATACTTTATTTGATTCGTAGAAAAAGAAAAAGTGAGGAAAAAATGAAAACTAAATAAATTTATTATAGTCAAAATAAATTTATTAAATTAGAGATAACTTTGTCGAATTAATTACATAACGTGATATTCATTTATTGATTAAATTTATTAAAAATTATAAAATTTAGAATAATAGTAAAAATTATATTTAAAAAAGTGTGTTAAATGACATGGTACTCGCATTTCTCATGTAAGATTGACAATGGCAACACCTTATTTGGTGGACATTGAGAAAGTGTACAGATGGAAGAAGGAGAAAAGAAAAGAGTCAGCTAAACCACTATTTCACTAGAGAATTAGACGCCTATCCATCCGTCTTCTTGGCAATGACCATTTCCTTTCTCTCTCTTTTCATCTTTTTCTCATTTGAAACATTATGCTTACAAACACATTGATTTGATCATATTTTTATAATTTTCTATTTTTATACATAAATATATGTTTTCCTAATTGTGGGTCTGTTATTATCTTCCCTCTTTTGTTCCACAATTTCCTCTCAAGAACTCCTAGTGTTTATGATGATGAGTGGTGGTCCAGTTTTCAACTTCCATGTGTCATCTCTTGTTTAACTCTTCATTGATATGCATGCAAGGGAAACATGTTAGTTTTCTTGGTCATCCTCAGAGAGTTGTGAAGTTATGGTTTTGCTTATATTTTTAACTTTCGGGTTTGGCCTACATTCCTTGACGTCTCTTCTGAGGAGTTCTCTCCTCTCCTTGTCACTTCCATCTACAATGTATACCACAATGGCTAATTTGCTCATATGTCATTCATGATATAGCTTAAAATGATTTGATTTCTAACCATTGTTAATATAATCACATTTGTTTGTTTCACATCCCATTGTGATTTGAGTTTCTTTTTTCCTCGCTCGTGCTCTTGAAGTACCTTTTATTTAAGCTTTTAAAAAATGATGATTTTAAGATTGTATCAAAAATTATTTTTATTTTAGATATTTTATGAAATGTAGAAATTGTTTTTTAAGTGACTTTTAAAATAAATGTGACGTTTCAGAAGAAGAAAAAAACTAAAATAAACATTACATAACCAGGCTTCTAATTCTATATTAATTCTACGTGTTTGGTCATAACAAGAAGTTCAAGTTGATTCTACTTATATTGATATAAGGATAATCCACGTTAGAGCCTGCTTTTTTGTACTTGGTTTAGCATGTTTTAAGAATTAATTATTCATTTTATTATTTTTATAAAAAATTAAAAAAAAAAATTTACTAAACAATTTGTTACTAAACATTGTAAGTTGGCATGTAAAAATTATATCCTATCATAATTAATTATTTTTAATGTGCTTTTGCAGAAATTCCTCCTGATGGGTGTTTTTGCATTGTCCACAGATGGCATCAAAGCCGGTCAAAATGCCTCATTTGCCTAATGTAAGAGTTCCATGCTGTTCATTTTAATACCAATAATAATTGCTTAAAAAATCATAATGCATCCATGATTTGTGAAGAAAATTCTGATGCATTCTTTTGTAACAGTCAAATTATTTATTATATTGGTGGGAATTGATCGAAACTTTTGCTGAAAAGCAGATAGAAGAAGCTCTCGAGACGGATCAAGCTTGTACAAATTCAGAAAGTTACGTCAGAAAGGTGAATCAAGAAACAAAAGATGCCTCCATAACTGACAATAATGCAACCAGTGGAGTTGTACAAATTGACCAAGTTTCAAAACATAATGCAAAGATGCCAACAAGTAAACCAGCATCTAAACCTGACAATTTAGAGAAGTCCTTTAGGAACACTTCTGATTTTGCCACTACTCAACTCCCAGGTCCAAATCCAAGAGTGCCTTCAAATTCTGACCTTTCAACCACCTCATCAGGAGTAACAACAGGAACCACAAGGGGGTTTCCTATGCCAACCAAAAACACCAATCAAGGCCAAGTGAGTGGCACTAGCTCCCGTAGTGATAGTTTAGAGAGCAGTTGTAGTGCACCTATTAAGCCACACACTGGAGGTGATGTAAGGTGGGATGCAATTAACATGGTTTCAAAGGGCAATGGTCTTAATCTTAGCCATTTTAGGCTTCTAAAGCGTGTTGGTTATGGAGACATTGGAAGTGTATATCTTGTGGAACTTAAAGGAAGTAAGGCCTTCTTTGCCATGAAAGTAATGGATAAGGCCTCACTTGCAAGTAGAAACAAGCTTCTGAGAGCACAAACAGAAAGGGAGATTCTTGGACTTCTTGACCACCCATTTTTGCCAACTTTGTATTCTTACTTTGAAACTGAAAAGTACTACTGTTTGATCATCGAGTTCTGCAGCAGTGGTAGTCTTCATTCTCTAAGATTGAAGCAACCTAAGAGGCATTTCACTGAAGAAGCCGCACGGTTAGTGACTTAAGAGTTCATTTCAGTTCAATGACATATGAGTACTTAAACACACACTCATACATTGGACTTGATTCCACCGGAGTGATATATGTGTAGGTTGACATCTTTGCTACAACACTAAACATGATTGCATTTTAGTTTGCTCAATATAAATCAGTTTACTAATGTTCCTAAAATTTATCCTCTTTAAGTCAAGCTGGAAGATTATATCACTAGTTGATGCTCTTTTATCTTCCCTTTGAGTGAGATTTTGTTTACTGCATTTCTTTACATTTAATCTGTTTTTCTATATGATTCTGATAAAAAAATGTAATTTCTTTCTTCTTGCTTATGCACTCTTATTTTGCTCTTGCCATTATGTGCTGTGCTTATTGTTTTGTTGTTCAGTCGTTCCTTTTCTTTGCTGATTAAAACGTGAAAAGCATAGTGAATACACTTCAGTTTTTCTAGCAATATGAACAAGTATTCTATGCATATGCACAAATTGATCCATCAACCAATAGTTTATCGGCATCATTTCCATTAATAATAATATCAATGTTCAACATTTCTATAAAAACAGAAAAATATACGAGCACTAGGTGTTACCAATAACCATTATGCTGCTTCAAAAAAGTAGATAATAAACCTCCAAACGTGGGAACAAATCTTATTTATAAGTTCTGTGCATTACTTACTTCTCTGAGAAATGCAATCAGAATCAGTTAGTTAATCGAGACCTCATTGAGATTTAAAATACATGTTAATAAAGCAGGTTTGTCTTAAGTTGTGTGACTGAATTGAACCTTCTTATAATCTTTGTTTATCTTCATAGGGGAAAAAAATTAGAAGCCTTTTGCCACAAAAAATGAATCATAATAACCATTCGTAGCAACACCTTTGTGGTCTCAGTTTGTTACCATTCAAGAATTCAATGTCCTAATTTCCTTGTGACAGGTTTTATTGTTCAGAGATTTTGTTAGCTTTGGAATACCTTCACATGCTAGGCATTGTGTACAGAGACTTAAAGCCAGAGAATGTTCTAGTCCGAGATGAAGGTCACATAATGCTATCAGATTTTGATCTTTCACTTCGGTGCTCTGTGAGTCCTACACTGGTGAAGTCATCATCAGCACGTGTAAGTAGCAGTGGTCTTTCTGGGGGCATTTTGGATGATGATCAAGCAGTGCATGGTTGCATACAGCCCTCAAGTTTCTTCCCACGCATTTTGCCTTCAAAAAAGAATCGCAAGTCAAAGTCAGATTTTGGCCTAATGGTTGGAGGGCGCCTCCCTGAACTAATGGCAGAGCCTACAAATGTGAGGTCAATGTCCTTTGTAGGGACACACGAGTATCTTGCACCAGAGATTATTCGCGGCGAGGGACATGGTAGTGCAGTGGATTGGTGGACATTTGGAATCTTCTTGTATGAGCTCTTGCATGGAACGACACCCTTCAAGGGTGCAGGAAACAAAGCCACATTGTTTAATGTTGTAGGACAGCCTTTAAGGTTTCCAGAAACACCCCGTGTTAGTAGTGTTGCAAGAGACCTTATAAGAGGGTTGTTGGTGAAAGAGCCTCAGAAAAGGTTTGCTTACAAAAGGGGTGCCACAGAAATTAAACAACACCCCTTTTTTGAGGGAGTGAATTGGGCTCTAGTTAGAAGTGCCACACCTCCTATTATACCTGAACCTCCAGATTTTTCCAAGTATGCTAGCAAGGAAAATGTGGCCCCAATAGACAAGAAGATTGCAGATATTGTTGCAAGTGATAAAAGTAGCCATAAACAACCTGATTCTTCTTATGAAGATTTTGAGTACTTTTAGAAATGCCTGATTTTATCCCCTTTGGACAGATATGTACATCTAAAAAAAAACAGTATTTTGAAATCTGTTATGAATAAACATTTTATACACAAACATGTAGAGTTTTTTTTTCTCCCTTCTCAGCTTCCTTTATTTATATTCTTTCTAGTTCTTTTTAAGCATTCTTTTAATTATTTTTTTAATGCGTAGCTCAGAGCACATATTTATTATTTCAAAGTCATAAAAAATATTCAATATTCTTTTAATAGTAATTTAGAATATTCAATAGAAAATTTTAATGTTTCCTATAAATTGCAGGTTCAGGTTCCAACTACTTCCAAAGTTCATCCAATGTTTCATTTTTCTCAACTTCGGAAAGTCATGGCTTCTATTTATCATAATCTAAATTACCCATTAATTCGATATCACTTATAAAAATTTAAATTTAACTTTGATTGTATTATAATATAATAATAGAATAATTAATTTGAAACAAAAATAAAATTTATAATTTTAAATTAAACAAAAGAAAATAAAAGAACATATTTGAAATTAAAAAAATAGCTAAAAGATAAAATTACTAATTTTATCCTTTTTAATTTGTAATTAAATATTTTTTCCTACTATATATATATATTTTTTTTTTATTTTTTATTTTTTATTTTTTACAGTAACAAGATCAATAATATATCCATCTTTATAAAATGTGAATCCTTATTTTAAATAATAATATTTTCAGAATTTATTTTAAATAAAAATAATTTTAAGAGTCATTCTATTTTTTATTATATTATGACTTCTCATAATTTAATATTTATATTTTATAATTAATTTTTAGTTTTAATAATAATAACTCTTTAATTTGGTCATAATTAACATTATTAGATATTTATATATAATAATAAAAATGTTTGATTATTTATAATTAATAATAAAAATGTTTGATCCTTGCATAATTTATTAAATTTTAAAATACTTATATAATGTATCTTTAATTTTATGTAAATACTACGTTAATTTAATAATACTCATAAAATAAAACTAAAGTACTTTTAATATAATATAACTATAAAAAAAATTAAAAATTAAATTAATAAAAAATTGAAAAGATCGTTTTTTTTTTATTGAATCACATCAAATTTTATATTTAAATTTAAAAATTAATTCCATTTTTTTGTATTTGAAAAAAAATAAAACCTTAAATCAACCTTTAATTTGATTGGATCGAATTTTTCTACGCCTAAAAAAATATCCAATATAATTTATAACAAATCTATGCATGTATAAATAATTCTTTTTATTAAATTATTTTTCACTCGCATTTATAAAATTATATATGTACTTGATAAAAAAAAGTGTATTTACTAAATTATAATACTGAATTATATTTTTATTATTTACTTGTTAAAATTATATCTTATTAATCTAATGTGTTTATAAATTTATTTATTTTAAATTTATTAAAATTATTTTTGTGTTTATTTAGTTATTCAATTTCTAACTCTAAAGCTATGCTACGCGTTTGTTTCCTTTGTCTCTTTTAAACCATTTCATCACTCTTTTTTAACCATGCTATCTTAAAATTATTTAACTCATTAATTTAATTTTTAATGAAATATTTTTTTATTTATAAAAAAATTATAATTATAATATATTTTATAAAAATATTATTTAAAAATTGATTTATATAAAAAAATTTATCAAATTTTGAAAAAGTAAAAGTTTATTTGATTAAGTTTTAATATGTTTTTTTATTTTTTTAAAAAAAAAACATGTCACAAATAACAAAAAATAAATAAGTCTCACAAGATTCATTCTATTTTAAAAAAATAAATTAATATTATTATTTTGAAAAATAAGTTTATTATTATTTTGAGTATACATGTCAAAAAATAATAAATATTTAAAAAAATTTAAATTATTGTCTCACATAAATTATTTTCAAATATTAAAAATACTTTGAATTAATTGTTTAAAATAAAAAGATGCCTAATAAATTAAAAATAAAAAAAATTAAACTTAAAAAGTAATTAAAAAGATAATAATACAATTCTTGAAAAAAATCGGATGAGATTAGTCGATAGCATATAATTTTACCTATTACATTTATTTATGTTTTATTTAATCTAATTTCAAAATTAATTTGCTAATCACCCATACTTATTATATTAAAACTCAATGATTATACAATGTTAATATTCATTTCTTTAGGTAATTACTCTAAATGATCATGCAAGATAAAAGATAAAGAAAATATAAAGATCCTATAAGTTTATAAATTTAATAAAGAAACGAACTAAGTTTAATTTATTAATCCTTTGTCTCATTTTATTCTATAGTCCTATTAATTACATGTGATATGATTGTATATAATACAATTAATTATAAGATGTTAAGGGTGATTAATTCTTAACACGTAAAATATAATTCAATAGAATAAAAGCCAAACATTAAAAAAAAAAATAACATTGTCATTAAATATAAAAATCACATAGAGTATACAATAAGATTTACTATAGTTCTAGTTATGGATTTAATTACTCGTAATAAAGTAAATAACAAAAATTATTATAAACAATCCATAATAACTCAAAAAGGAGAATTCAAACCAAACCAAAGAAATGTTTGTCATCTTTATCAATGATTTATCACTTTTCAATAATTAATTAAGTTAAGATTAAGATAATGATCTCTTCCTTAAGAGCAAAATACTTCTTTATATAAGATGTGAAATGAGATGTAAGATAATGACTTGACCTCTAACAAATAAGTTCAATAATTAAAAAATGATATTTTATTTTGTCAACTTTCAAAATCTGAGTTGAAAACTAATTTAAATCTTCCTATCTCAATCTAAATTCAATTTCTCAAATTTTAAAATTAAATTTAAATTTTGCATTCAAATTCAACTAGCATGATCAAGACTCTTATTTTAGCTAAAATTATCTAATCTTTATCTAGTATATTTTTGTAATGTATTTTTATAAAACTGTAATAATTAATAACATAATCAATGAATATATATATACATATATATATATATAATAGGATTTATGTGTATAAATATAAGTCATAAAATATATTAAAATATAGACATATTATTATTTTAATTTATAATATAAAAAATATAATTATTTAAAATATATAATTATCAACTTTTAAATTCTTATCTAATAATTAATGATGGTCTTATCTTTCGTTTTACACCTATTAACTAATTTAAAAATTAAATTTATTAAGTACTTTTAATTCAATCAGCTTTTAATTTTTTTTGGCTTTCATTTAATTTGCCTCCTAATTTTATTCAAAACACTATAAACATAATATAAAAGAATTAAAAAATAATTTATTTATCATATTTTTAACTACATTAAAAGTATAAAATATAAAAAATAATCATTCAATTCAATCTAAACTAAACTTTATTAGATAAGATTACATAAATAAAAATCTAAACTAATCTTTATTAGATATAATTAAATTTTAAATTTTACTTAAACTAATTTAAATTAAATCATAACATATTTTTATAGTCAAATCAAATATTTATTTTTCACTTAAAAGTTTATTCAATTGAAATAAAAAATAAGTCTTGATAAAGAACATAATTAATAATTTAATTATTTATATATCTTGTGCACTTTAATAAAAGGAAAAATAAAAGTAAAATAGTGAAAAAGTCTAATGAAAATGAAATAAATAAATAACAATACTTGCAAAGAGATGTTGTGTTTAGAGATAGAAATAAGCTAAGTTAAGCTAGACTTAAAATAAATAAATGAAATCAAAATATTACTTGTTATGAGCTTTTTATTAAGTTTAGTTTAATTTAAATTTTTTTTAATAATCTACTTCGTATTGAAATATTCAACAAATCATCAAACTTTCTTATAAATAGATTATTAAACCATTTAAACATGTATATCTTTTTGAAAGTTATAAGGCTTATATTTAAAAATAAATTCAACAATTTGAATATGTATAATAAAATTATATATTCTTATTTATCACTTTCAAATCACATATTTAATTTAAATAAGTAAATTACTACACATACAAAAAATATAATAAAATGAATATCACTTTATAAATTATTAAACAATTCTAATAGCATAAAATCTTACACTTTAAATCAACAAATATAATATAACTAAATAAGTTTCAGACTTAAAATTAGCAAATACAATAAACAAAAATTTAAAATACATAAATAATAATATTTTTTTATAGTAAATAGGAAGTAATAAATATATCATTAAATTCTTAAAGAGATCTCTTTACATTTTTCATCAACTTTAAAAAAAAAATATTACTAAAATAAAAATATTTTAAAAATAGTTATTACAAATATTTTTTAAAAATACTTTTAAAAGGTATTACTTTTAATTTTTTCATTAAATTATACTTATAATAAAGCTAATTAAATTTTTATATATTATTAATATTATTATATTATAATTTTTATATAAAATTATTTAATATATTATTATAAATTTTAAATAAATCTATTAATTTTTTTATAAAATTTAAATTTAACTTATTTAATTAATTAAAATTTTTCAAATTAAATTTATTAATTAAAAAATTAGGTTAAAATAGGCTTTAAATAGACTAGCCCAATTCTGTGTTGGATTGTCTGACCTATTTCCACCCTTTGCTCCCTGTGCTGCAATCACTCACAGTCATTTCTACTTTGACTGAGCGATTAGGATCGAAAGCCAACATTATTTCCGTGACAGTAACATCATTTTCTCATTTTTTGTTTTCACTAAAATGGAAAACCACATCTACGCCTCTTACAGCCCTACCACCAACTACAGATTCTTCGACCCGGACACCACCGCCACCACTGCCACCATGTTCCTTTCCCACCACCACCACCACCACCGCACCGACCCCGCCTCCGCCACCTCTCTCCGCTTCCCCTCTTCCTCCGCCGACATCGACATTGCCCCGCCAGGTGTCACTTCCAGAATCGCCTCTTCCACCGCCACAAACTTGCTCTCTCCCTGGCCCCCTTCCGCAAACGTTGCCCCTTCTTCTCTTGACCTCAAACGCTCCTCTGAGGGTTAGTTATTAATATTTTCCCTTTATTTATTTATTTACTTACTTTTATTTTATTTTTTTAGTCTCCTATTTTTACTCTTTAAAACGATTTAGGTTATAATATTAATGATTGAAAAGTATAGTTTAGTCTTGGATTTTCAATTATTTAAATGAAGTAAGAGATAAGGAAGATGAATGAAGTAACCAAGATTTCACCTCTTGAGTGTAATGTTATAGTGTGTCCTGCATGTAATTAAGAGCACCTGATTTGACACCTATGAAGTAAGAAAATATGTAAATTGAGAAAGAAAAGATGCATATACTGTCGATTTGAAATGTTTTAATTCAAATTTAAGTTGGATGTAGTTTTACTTTCTCTCTTTACGTTTTTTTCCCTGTTTGAAGGAGCCAAATCGAATTCCTCGAAGTAAATGTATGTGGTGTTGAATTTTCTGACAATATTAGCATGGCAATTAATGTTTATTTTTAAGATGGTATGTTAGGTAGCATCATGGTGTTGGTTATTGCTTTGTTATTTCCTTTTTGGTAATGTTAGTACTTAGCAATTTGTTAGTGTTCTTGCCAATGGAGTATACCGGATTACCAGTTGTGAAGAACTGCTTGTTGTCAAAGTTAGTTATCTGCAGTTACGAATGAGTTTGGTAGCACAGGTTTAGTTAGATGGGATTTATGTAGGGTTATTTTTCAGAATCACCATCGATACAAACTAGTTTCTGGTGTATCAAATGAGCAAATAAGTACATAAGATAGGTCTGCTGATTGATGATTGATCTGAACAACAGTGATAATAGTAGTAAAGTTGTCTCCTTGTTTGAGTGCGTGACTTGTTACTGATAAGGCAAGTTTTACCTTTTGACTTCAAATGGTGCAGAGTGTTACTACTTTACGTATTTTTTGGAGTTTGTTGGGTTATGAGTGAGCTATATATTTCATTATTTTGATATAATTTTAATAAACATATACTTATAGCTTTTATACGATATTGGTGAACTTTAGTCATTTCATTTTCTATACCAAATTTATTCTTTATATTTACTAAGCGTATCTTCTTTGTCAAAAATTATTTTCTAAGTCAAACTTATACAGTAACATTATACATTTGCTTTGGTTTTCTTGTATATACTCGTCTATTATGTATTATAGCTCTCTACCATCCATCCATTTTGAGTACAATTGGGCAAAGTGAAGCTTGGTATTCTACAAACTCACTGGCCAAGCGCCCTAGATATGAAAGTGCTTCCACTATGCCTATATATCCACAGAGGCCAGGAGAGAAGGATTGTGCTCACTATATGCTCACAAGAACCTGTAAATTTGGAGATAGCTGCAAGTTTGACCATCCTATTTGGGTTCCTGAGGGTGGAATCCCGGATTGGAAAGAGGTGACTGTTTATTATTATTACTATTATTTATGCCTATGAAACTTATATCTTATTGTATAGTACATTTACTATTGGTAATTGTAAAGTGACATGTACTCTTAATTTCTTATGATACTATATTTATAAAAAAGTATTAGAGTTGAGCATATATGAATTTATATAGTGGTGTCTTATATACTAGTTTAACCAATTCTTTTGTTTTAACATTTATATTTACTACATTTGTTGTAAAACCCTTGATTTCTATGTATGTCAGTGTCCAGCACTGTATATGTCCAGCACTGTATATAGGTATTATATATTATTCTAGAATAAAATTATAAATTATAATAAAATGAAAATTTGCACAACTATGTCTTGTACTATACTTGTAAAATATACAGACTAATTGTATGAAAGGGTAATGACGAATTTAAATATCTCAAAGCATTTTTCAAAAGCTGGAGTTTGTATATCATCATATGCATGAACCTTGTTATAAATTTAACTTGAGAACTTCTGAGATACTCAGTAAAAACATGTTTTTTAGTCATTTGAACTAACAAAACTAGTATAGACTAGAAATAAATCTTGACATGACCTACTCTTGAATAAAATAGCAATTCCAAGTTTCCAACACTTTATGTTTGTTCTTTATTAAAAAACTTTGTTGGATGTGATGTGTAAGGTGGTTTGATTGTCACATATCAGTTGCATCTGCTTTTCTTCCCCAAATTTCAACTCATGAAGATTGTTTCATCCACATGAATTCACTGGTTACCTATGGGGTAATATTTTGCTTTTGCACTTGACCTATCAAAATCATGGTGCATGTTTTGGGCAACACCATGTTTCCTTGAAAGAACACATCATGAAGTTTAACATTTTCCTAACAGAAATTGTCCAATTTGATTTTGCAAATTCAATTACCTGGCTCTGCCCATTATCTTCCATCTTGCAATCCTTGGCCACTTCTTTGATATACATGCAGATGCAAATCACAGCATAGCATCCGAATACTTTCACATGGAGCTTGTACAAACTGACTGACCATGCTCATTGTAAAGGAAATATCTTGTTTAACTGTTAAGAGATTTTAGTTACACATGTCTTCAATACTTCCTAGGATTTGAAAGTGGCTCCCCTTATTTGGGATCAATGAGTGTGTCCACAATGGAGCAGCTTAATGTGCTTGGTTCCTGACTTTCCTCCAAGATTTCTAGTGATTTTTTTCCTTTACGTTCACCCCTATTCTAGATTGCATGAGGGAAACTAAGAGATGGGTTGAGAACATAGCCCCCTGGCCACATGGCAGGTGGAAGGGGTAAAAAGGAGTGGGATTTTCTGTTAGGCTGTTAGTGTAAGAGAGTTAGGCTGGAGAAGGAAAAAAAGCATGGATTGGGTTACAGTTCCTCAAAATGCTGCACCAACTTTCCTTTACTATATATCCTTGTTCTGTCTCTGAGAATAATTGATGTCTGGTAATCTGTACTACCTTGTTCTGAGCTGACAATCCAGTAATATCAGTGCTAGTAAAGGCTTCTTTTTCTAAATTTATTGAAACATATTCTGATTTCTTGGTATGTATCAATTGGTATCTGATCTTTTAATCTGGGTCATGCTGGTGATATTAAATTTCATGTGGATGTAGCTACTAGCTAGTGACAAAGCCACTTTTATATGAGAATGAGAATAGTAAATCTGAGTCGTATAACTACACATGGGTGATTGAAATTAAATGTTAATTGAAGTGGCATGATTAATTTTTAAACTTCTCAATATATATATATGAGAATGAAAACAATAAATCTAGTGAGAAATCCCGTTTTATGAGATTGAAAACAATAAATCTAGGTCATATAACTATACATGGATGGTTCAAATTAAATGTTAATTAAAGTCACATGGTTTATCTTAAAAGTCATGTGGCTTCTTAAAAATGTCACATTACTTTTATCTTTTAATCTTGACCATTTATGGTATTACATGAAGATTATTCCATACGTCAACATGAGTGATAAAGAAATTACTTAAAACAATAACTATTTGTGATTATGTTATAACTAATCTTTAGAACAATAAATCTATGTGATTACTTAAGACAATAACTATTTGTAATTACATGAAGAAGATTCTTTCATATAATATATGGTGAGGTGGTCTAATGCTTGAGATGTATTCCTCAAGTTTTCTCATTTAATATGTTTCCTACATATATCTTTCTATGCATTAGTCAATTTAGTCAACTTTGTGACTGTATTAGACTGATATTCTATTATGCTGGCAATCAATTTTGTTCTAGTAGTATCTATTGCCCTTTGTAGTTTAGGGTAGGTGTGAGAGATTGAGTTTAAAACCTTCATGGGCTGTCTGTTCTGTATGTTAGGATAACTCTGTTCGAGTTATTTCATTTAATGAGCTAAATACCGTTTTTCTTTATATATTTTGTCACTGCTGGCAATGGGTTTTGGTCACAAAAGGTGAAATATAATCATCTAGCAGTTTTGGTTCTTAAATATAGTACATGTTTACTAATTTGTTTGATACACATGATTGATTCATACCCCGATTTAGGTTCCAAATATTGTTGCGAGTGAAGCTCCTCCTGAGAGAGCAGGGGAACCAGATTGTCCAGTGCGTACAAATTTCAATTTTTTTTTTCCTTTTAATTTCTTTTTTCTTATTCTTATGTATTTGGGCATTTTCTAATTGATTGAGTCCAACACATAGCAGTACTTTCTGAAAACTCAAAGATGCAAGTTTGGTTCAAAGTGCAAATTTAATCATCCCAAGGTTTCCTCTGAAAATGCCGATGTTTTGGGCTTACCTGAGAGGCCATCAGAGCCCCCTTGTGCGGTTAGTTATTCATATTTTTACATTAACATGAGACATTGTTTATAGGGCTTTACATCATGTTTTATACTTATGCAGTTCTACATGAAAACTGGAAAATGTAAATTTGGTGCTGCATGTAAATTCCATCACCCCAAAGATATCCAGATTCAGTTATCTGATGACATGAGTCATACTGTTGAACAGACACAAACAAATTCTATGATGGGAGGGGCAATGGGAGATACAAAACCAAATAAGTCTCTTATATCTCCACTGTTGCATAATAGCAAAGGGCTTCCTGTAAGACTGGTATTAATTCTCTATTAAATTCTTTGTGTCCATTCTATGTTGATAGATGGAACACAGACCAATTCAGTCATTATCATGTTTTTTGAACTTTCCCTTTTATTCCATTACTTGCTGGATGCATGCTGCTGTGGACTGTTAAAACAGTATAATGCCAATGACAATACTAATAAATAATTGTAGCTGAAATTATAATTTTCAACTTGTTTGAGTGGATTGGTTTTTGTCTGGCTGTGTAACTGAGGCTCTTGCTAAGTTGCATTCTCTGTAACTAAAGTTTCTTTCTTTACTTTTTTTTTTTTTTTAATCTTTGATGGTTTATAAATTACATATAAAGATGCCCATTAATTTCTAGCTGATTACAAGTTTACAACCTTTTCCTCTTTTAATTTATTGCCTTCTGAAAAGCCTGAGTTTTTATTGTACAAATCTCTTCTGACAGGGGGAAGTGGATTGTCCATTCTACATGAAAACTGGAAGGTAAGTGTTGATTTATGTTCAATTGGTTCTTAATTTAGAGAATAGTCACTTTTGTTTTTTAATTTTACCATAGCTGTTACTGAAAACTGTTAAAAAGCAATTGTTTCTCCACAATAAGTTAATTCAAACATGCACATATGCTATGGATTAAATGTCTTTAAATTTTCATTCATATGATTCAGTTGCAAGTATGGTGCATCTTGCCGCTACAATCATCCTGACAGGAATGGTATGTATATTATATATTGATTGTTTATTGTCATGTTTTCTAAACAATATTTTCACATGGCTGTACTTTGGTGCAGCAATTAATCCGCCCATTGCTGCATTTGGCGCTTCTGTTTTGCCGTCATCAGCTGCTAATCTGAATATTGGAGTTCTCAATCCCGCCGTGTCTGTTTATCAAGCTTTTGACCCAAGGCTGTCAAATCCAATGGTAATGGGAAGTTGTTACTGAACTGTACTTATTCTCCTAGAGAATTGACCTCTGCAAATTGCAAATAATGTTATCTGACACCTTTTCATTCTTGTGGGTAGGGGATGGAACCGGGGATGCTTCTTGTTATGCTTTATATTATGTCTCTGCCTATCATCGGAACAATGCACTTTCAAATGTGTTAAGAGATGTGCATATAATGAATAAAATTTTAACATATATATTATAGAGCTAATAAAATCAATAAACATGGCTAGGAGACATAGCCTATATAGTATATACTCTTGGATACAGTCAAACCTGGAGCATAGAGCTGTTGCATGATTGGTTCGAATGAACAAATAACACTTGGAATTTGGAACATAGCACGAATGATATTTTTCTTGTTCCTAATATTCTCAAATGGCGATAACATTTGTGTTATAGATATGTGATTTTGTGCGCATATGTCATTTGTATAAATGTCTTTGCTCTTCTCTTTTTTCTTTTTTATTGCTTTGTCTCAAGTCTCATTTTGTGTTTGTGCGGCCTAGCTTGCTACCTTCACTTTCTTCATAAATACATAGTTTCCTAGCATTCTCGTTCTTAGTATTTTTGAGATGCTGTTGCTCATCTAGTAAATTCTATGCATATGGTATATGTTTCTCATATGAAGAAAAATGTTTGGGTCCTTTAGAGGTGAGGTCTCTTTGTTGTTTTGCCTCAGTAATGTAGGAGGACCAGTTCAAAACTACTCTAGCACAACTTATATAATATTAACAACAATTAAATAAAAAACATTGTGGAAAAAAGGAGTATTACAGCTTAGAAAAATAGCCATTCTTAATTTAACTGTAATCTGTGTTTCCATGAGATGTCATCATAGATGAATTTTCTCGAAAATTAATGCACCTTATGCATGTGACATGTTTTCCAGTCTCAGGTGGGAATTGCAGAAACTATCTATCCTCAGCGACCTGGACAGATTGAATGTGATGTAAGTAAGCATTTCCCTTGTGTTCCACTCATTAGATTTCTGCAGCCAATATCTATTTGGAATTTGATCAGAACTGAATTTACTAAGGAACAATAAAGGAAATATTTAGAGAACAATAGTCTGATTGCAAGGCTAGTATGCATAAACTATAGAAACTGATAATGAAAGTAAAAAAATCAGAGAAACCCTATGGCAAAAGCCATCCAAAACTACCCAATTGATTGCCTTCCTTCACATTTCCTCCCTCTCCCCTTATATCTTACTCAGCCTCTAACCTCAACGCTTCCTACATATCTTGCCATATATGCAAGTTTTTTACAACTTATGTTAATCCCTCTTTTGCCCTTACCTGTATTGGAGTTTCTAAGAATACTCCCTTCTGAACAAGGTGGAACTTAGAAGGTTGTAAAAAGAAACATCCAGCTGAAGATCTTCCTCCAGGATCCCACTTCCTTAGATATAAAGACCCACTTATGCATGAAGCATAATAATTCTCAGGGGGACCCCTTTGCTGAAGTTTGATGGCTGGTTGTCCAATTCCTTGGAACCCACAATAATACTGGAGTTGGTACCACATCCCAAGTCTTACTAAGCCCAACTCACCAATCCTGTCCCAACCAAGCTTTAATGCATCCTAGATCAATCACGTGAAAGTCAGACTAACCAACCCTGAATTACTAACCGTACACAATGGCGCCATAGCTGACACTCTTCATTTTGTCTCTGCTCAATATTACCATAATTGATATCTAGATAATAACAGTATTATACTCAGTGTTGTCAAATAACAGCCATGGCAGCAGCATGGTGGATGTCGATGGCGGTTTTCACCAAAACTGCCACAACCATGGCAGAAAATGGCAGATTCAAGATGGCGGTGCCATGGCAGCCATTACGTGCTTGGAGGCCATGGCAGAAAGCGTTGTTTTTTTATGAAAAAATGAAATGGGCCTCTGACCTAACCTGGTCCACAGTGACCCATGAATACCCAGATCCAGATCATATTCAGGTTGGAAACGTTTTGTCAGGGCATTCACAAAGCTCCACCAAGATGCATTTGGATTGACACATTCTCAAAATTAGTACCAAATGAGAGCGCAACCTCAGTGCTTTCACACCCTCATATAGCCTCATCGCCTCATATATCCCCATTGCATTGAAAATACTGTTTCATATTGATCAGCCACATTAGGCATCTTCCCCTTTAAACCTGGAATCTTCAATCCTCTCCATTTATTTTGTTCCTCTTGTTCTTCCTTCCTCCATTGCTCAAATGCTGTCAAGAACTTCAACCTCCCAATGTATCTCCACTTTTTCATTTTTGAATTCAGTACCACAGCCCCTAGATTGGAAATCTGAATTGTTAAGACACTTCTATAAGGGTAAGGGAAAAAGAGAGGCTGGGTGGGGATATAAGCTAAGAGGGAGGAAATGTGAATGTAGGGAATCAATTGAGTAGTTTTTGGTCTCTTGCCTTATGGCAGAAAATTTTTCCTTTATTATTACCCTTGTAATCAAAGTATTGTTCTCTAAATATTTCCTTTATTATTCCATAGTAAATTTCAGTTCCTATCAAATTGATATCAAAGCCTCTCAGCTGCAATCAAGTGACACCCGAGGCTAGTCAAGGGGCTAGCGCAACCCATGTGGGCACTGGGGCTGGGGGGCATGGTGGGATGTTAGGATCCCCATTGCAAGGTATGGGACTTGAGTCCCACATTGGAAGTATGGGATTCTTGTGAGGTTTATAAGGTCTTGGGCTGTCCAATTATAACGGTTAACTTTTGTAGGATTCTATTTATACGTATAGTATCCTACATTTTATTGAATGTAACTTACTAATATGTATTTAACATCTAGTTAGAATCCCAAGTCCCACGTTGGAAGTATGAGATTCTAGTGGGGTTTATAAGGTCTTGGGCTGTCAAACTATAGGATACTATTTATACGAATAATATCCTGCCTTTTATTGAATGTAACTAACTAATGTGTATTTTAACATCTAGTTTTCAAAATATTTGATTCTTAGAGAAAAGAACTGTTAATTTGTTCTTAAAACTTCAAGAGAACTTCCTTTTATGCTGAACTTCTTAATGTTCTCATGCAAAGCCATAACTTCTGCATAAAAACATTTAATTTCCTTTTAGATTTTGATTTAATGATTTTCCATGTAGTATTATATGAAAACTGGCGAGTGTAAATTTGGTGAAAGATGCAAGTACCATCACCCAATTGACCGCTCAGCACCATCACTGTCAAAGCAGGCTACTGTTAAACTCACTCCTGCAGGTTTACCAAGAAGAGAGGTATGTTAAATCTTTCTCACATGCATTCATGGTGTAAATTCTTGTTTTGTTTGCATTATTTTGTAAAATTCTTTCAATAAATAGTCTGTATTTTTAAAAATTGCAAGATTAAGGTGATTAGTTTAAGTTTAACTGGTGTGTCAATCTATTTTAAGTTACTTGGATTGTTACACATTGCATGTGGTAGGAGGCTGTCAAGCCAATCTCGGGAGATGCTGATTATTGAATTGCATTACTGTGTTCTAATAAACGTGTTCATGCAATTAGTCCCTGTGCATTTGTCCTTATGGATACCTTGGTTGCATTTGGGTATGCAACTTATTCAATAAACTCTTATTACTTGAAGGTATATGTCATAAATTGGATCATTAAACATTTTGGAATAAAATGAAAACTTATTCTGATAAGTTTTAATAAAAATTTACTGAGATAAGCTAAAATGAGTTTATAGAAGTTATAAGCTGTTTTCACAAGCTCTTTCAAACGGTATCTTTAGCTTTAAAGTAGCATCCCTTTAACTGGGGTCAAATTTTCCATCAAAGGAATGGATAGAAGTGATTTTCTTCAATTGAGTGCGCATAAAACTGTTGTCATATTGAAACAATGTGTGATACCGTGACAGGGTGCTGTCATCTGTCCTTATTATTTGAAAACTGGAACATGCAAGTTTGGGGCAACCTGCAAGTTTGACCACCCACCACCTGGAGAAGTGATGGAGATAGCAAAATCACAAGGAACATCTAATGGAGGGGAAGCAAAAGACCATGAAGAGGAGACTCCTTCAGAAGAGAATTGAGATTTTGCATGAAATTTTAGTATATTTCCGAGCTCTTTTCTGCCTTTGTATTTCGTAACATGATACTAACGGGTGTGGCTGAAGACCCGACTTTGCTTCCTATAATGACTAATTATGATTATGGATTGGTATGAGTGCTCTCTTGAATACCTGGTTGTCATCCCAAATTCTATTTAACAATTGCAATCAATCAATTCAAACAAGGTTAGACAAGAAAATTGAGTGAATGTATAAAACTAAATAAATATAATAATAAAAGCTGAACGATTGGGTCCATCACATCTTAGATGAATACGATCGATTTGTGTACAAGCGTAAATTTACAAATGTGATAATTGAATGGCTTAAATAGATTGTTCTAAAACAATTGATCTTTATTTTTTGTTTAATCCCTAAAAATTTTCATGTTTTTAACATGCGTGGTGATAGATGAAAATTGGCAAGTTCACTTAGTTGTCTCAGTAATAAAATGAGACTAAGATATTGGTCATGAGAATTTGATTTGATGTTTAATTTCACGAAGTAGCTACCAATTGGATTAAATAAAATATTTTATGATATGAAAGAATTACAACAGTTGAAATTGATACTAACAAAGTCTAAACACTAAACAATTGTAGTAAAATGGTTTCGACTCACGTGCAACGCTCTTTTACTAAATATATTTTAAAATTTTTATTAACTCGTGTATAGTCAGTATTTTACTTTAGAATGAAGCTAAAATCTTCTATATATGATTTCTTTTTTGCTTTCTTCAATATTTTTTGGTCTAACAAATATGATTTCTTTTTAATAATAATATTTCTCATTTTGACGATCACCCACTTGTGTCAAAAGTAATGTCATGGACAGAAGGATATAAGATTTTGTAAGGATCCTTCTCATTACGAAAATATAGCTCATCCCTTAAATCGCGGACACCAGCAGAATGTACACAGTTGTGTTTTATCGACTTTTATCAATGAAATAACTTTTGTATAACAAACGAACGCATCAAAAGTTGGTTTCCGCTACCTAACTAACCAAATTTCAGCTAACTACTAACATGTTTGTCCCCATTCGTGGAGCTTCGCACACACTCACCATTTCATCCAAAGCGTTGCAATTATATTAATTGGAGATCACAAAATAAACCAAGCTATAAACTCATCTAATAGAAATTTATATTAAAGGCTGGGAGAAGAAAATGGAAATCACTAAGCTAATACACCCCGAATATAAAAAATGTACATATATGTTTTAAAGAGCTAACATATAAAATGGAAAATACTATAGATATTATAGTGTTTACAACTTGCTTGTTTTTAATAATCCATCTGAGTTTTGAACCATTGAAAAAAGTGTTTTCACTTTGAAGCTTGCCTCTGTTTCCAATTTTTATGCATGCCACATCCCTCCTGAAAAAAGAAACCACACCAAATCAATAAAATCATATGTATCCTAAATAATATAAAAAATAGACGAATACTATAACTACACAAACAACTAAGGGCAGGCACACATGCAAAAGTGCAAGGAATATCATATAAGAGACAAAATTAGCAAGTTTTTCTTTTGATTCCAATCATGGTCAAATGTTGTGCCAAGCAGTTTTCCATGCCATTAATCCAAGTCAGAACTTTGACCCTAAAAAAGAGCAATTGGTCAAAGTTGTTAAAGAAAAACTCATTCGTACTTCATACATATCAATCTTTGTGAGAAAATGGTAACAGATCACATAGTTTGATGAAAGTCATACATAAGAACTTGCAAGTTGTTGGTCCCAAGTTACAATTATAAGTTGGTCTGAAGAAGCTAGCTACGTTTTCCTGGTTCATTTACACTTGATTTTAAAAGGAAGTAGAAATTTTCACAAATAAGCCGGAAAATTGTTAGTATCATTTTGGCTTGCTTAAAAATAAATAAAGGAAGTGTACGTTGAGTTCAAAGATCAGCCAAGAATGATAAATAAATATCCAAAGGTTGCAAATCTCTGGTGGTGTAAGGTGTAGAAAGATGTAGGGTAGGTAGGCCACATGATTGTTCTGTGTGCTCACAAGGCCTAGATCCAAGTTCTTTCTTCTTCAGCTGATGCACCAAGACCCACACTTACACGCAAAACTATGTATAGTGTGCCAAATTGCCAATAGCATGCGGAGGCAAGATAAGAAAGAAAGTGTGTATGAATTGGATTTAAAACCGATTTTAAAATGTGTTTCAAAGTTTTAATAATTACAAATTCAATTCAAACATTAAAACAAAAATTTAGTTGAAATATTTTAATTGTTAAAAATCACATCATCAATTAATCATCGTATTATTATCTGCATTCTAAATAAATGTGAGAATGTGTGATTAATTAAAATGCGCAATGAATATTTTTCTAAAATTTTATCAGCCAATCAATACTGTGAGTTAACTTATGACAAAAACTATTATGTGAACTTTAAATTGTTTTTTTAATTGAAAAAAATTATATATATATATATATATATATATATATATATATTATTTGTTAATCCTTCTAGAGTTTACAAATCTATCTAGAAAAATAAAATAACCATAATAATAATAATAAATGGTATGCTAACCAGAAAGGTGGCCATAGCAAATGGACAATAGCATAGGCATAGATTGAGTTACAATAGAAAAGAAATTCTACGTCAATATAAGGAGAAAGAGAAAGTGAAAGAGAAAACACAAAAAGTGAGAAAATTAAGCACACACGCCATCATCCATCACCAACAAACGCAAACGCAAACGCAAACGCAAGCCAAAAACCTAAGATTGTCGGATCTTTTTCATTGGAAATGACATCGATGCAGACATTGTAAGCTTGCGATGACTGGAATGGAATCATAACCAGGAAGGCACACACATTACGTGGAGTCTATGCTTGTGTGGATGGAGGTGAAAGTTGTTAGTCTACTGACTATGACACAATAAATCTCAATGTTTTTATTCTACTGAAATAGTCATATATAATAGCTTTACAATGATAACAGGAAAGTTGCAGTCCCACGTTTAAATCTACACACACGAAAAGAGAAAGATTTATATTAATATAAATTATATTCATTCTTACATTATTAATTATTTTACATAAATTATAATTTTTTTTATTGGTTTAGTCATTGAATTATATGATTATTTACATAATAAAAATATAATTGAGGTATATATATATATATTTATATTTATTTATTTATAATTTTTATGTATATTATAACAACAATATTTTGCCAACAAAAAATTACAAATTCTCATTTTGATTTATGAAAATAATAAGGATAAAATATTTTAGTTTCTAAAATATTAAAAATATTACATTATTTTTTATCTTTCATTTCTGTTAGATATTTTAGTCCCTAAATCTAGACATCATCGGTAGACAATAATAAAATGTTGACATATTAAGTTAAGTGACATGCATAATTGATTATATGATAAAAATTATGTTATATATAGTATGATATATGTTTTTTATTTCATTTTAATTCTTAAAATGATCACTCATTAGATATTTTAGTCCTTAGTTCTTAAAACTTTTCATCTACTCATCATTCTTCATTCTTTCTCATCAAAAACTATCATCGTCGACCACCTTATATCTGAGTTTTATTTCATTAAGATATTGAGTTTTTATAAATAAGAATTAGGAATTTCAACGAGACATCAAGTTTACCATACTAAAAATTTTAATCATGCAATTGTAACTTGAACTTAAATTAGAACTCCATTTTATACATGAGTGTGAATTTTATTGCTATCTGAATTTGAACCATTCTTTTGTCCTTGATTTCAATTTTACTTACAATTCCCTCATTATATTCTTTCATATTCGTTACTATTCTAATAACTTTACAACTTTTATTTGAACATTTTTTTTATAATTCTGCATTATTTTACTTTTACAATTTTAAACTCTTTTTGAAAAACCCTTTTTTTTGTAAAACTCTTTTTCACTGGTAAGTGACTGAAAACTGTTAAAAAGATGTTCGTTAGATTATTTTCTTTTTATTCTATATTGATTATTGTTTTATTTTTTTTGTCAATTTTTATGGACACGATAACTTTTCTATATTCTTTTATAACGATCGGTATGCTTGCAAAGTTTGTTTATCAAACTCAACAAACTAATATCAATAAGTTACCATTCAATAAGATCTTATTTAATAAACATGTATTTAAATTGTTTATCTAAATATATCCATTGTACAAATTCACCGTGTAAAAGTAAAATGAACAATAAGAGTTAGTTCATCAATAATGTAATAAATGGATCATAAATAATCACTGCCAGAGAAGGAGCTTTTGGTAATCAAGCTTAGACATTTTTTAGAGGATATGATATGAGAACAAGGATGAATAACATAAATTTGTTTGAGTTTAGGTTAATTTCAAAAAAAAAAAAAAGTTGGTACAAAGCATTGATACATAAATGGTCTTTATTAATTAGCTTCTATTTTTAATGATTCCAATTGTTTTATTTCATCATTTATGTGCCTTTATTATTGTAGAGATTCAATCTATGATTGATTTAATATGAAAATTCAATGTATCATTATAAAATCTAAATTAAATACCAAATTATAATGTGATTTATTGAGTCATTCACTAAATTTGGGTTTTTTAATATGCTTGCTATTCTACATTATGCACTTTTCAATATAACAATTAGAGAAAAGCAAGATAAAAATAATAATCTTGATATACCTAATATTATACCTACTAATAATATATAGAATAGGGATGAAGTGTCACTAATAATGTATCTCCATGACCAAGGTTACCAATAACACTAAAATAACAAAGCCACTTGTATTAAGATACTTTGTGTCATGATGAATTGGAGATACACTTTCTCCATTAACACCATTTATGAGAGCTAAATTTTAGCATGGAAAAGTTATGAATTGGAGGTATAATAGAGAAACGAGACGGTAATAATTATGGTGAAAAAAGGATGATAGAACATGGTTTTGGACATGAAGTAAAAAATGACTTGACTTATTGTTGGCGTTAATTAGGACTTGGTTAGTTTGACAAGTTGGTTTTAGGCGTGAAGTAAAAAAGGACTTGGTTTATTACTGGCATTAGGACTTGGCTAGTTTGAAAAGTTAACTTGATTACTGTTTTAAAAAGTTTAATTTTTAGACAAAATAG